TTTTTTGGAAAGACAAAGAAAATGTATTACTTTTAAGCGAGAGAGAAGTGTTAAAACAGAGGAGTTGTGCACTCTGATATTCACATTAGAAGATGAGCAGAGGCACGTGGGAAGCAATGGCCAGAGGATGGCAAGCACAGCTCCAAAAGATAACATTTCATGTTCATAAATGGCCAAAAAAATACATATTTATTTAAAGTGCAGCATTTTCATCTCCTTTCATCGGACCTGTATCTAAAATCATAATATTTATTATTTATTGCTCATGGAATGGGATTTGGGGGAGCTACACAGCACACATCAACCCGGTCACACCAAACAAACCCTTGGCAATGACACAGAAATGCCACCTGTCTCCGCTCTGCTGAAATTTTCCAAAACCATGTTTCAAGCAAAAGTATTCCCAGGTAGTGCTGAATACCTGTACACAATCCAACAAAACACAGCTTAGTCCCTTTCTACCCCAAAACGAGCCGAGTGTCACTAATGAAGGAAGGGACAGATGAAAAGCCCACGTACATTTGCTGTGCCTGCCTACTGGAAAACAGAATCTCCTCCTGCGTTGCCAGGCTCAGCGATGCTCTCTGATCGCGCTACACAAATCAATAACACACAGCCCAGACACCGAGCCGCAGAGATTCCAACAGCTCTCCTGCAGGGCAACACCAGCACATCGCTTCCCCAGCGAGAAAAACATCCAAAAAACCCGAGGACTTGGGTAATTATTTAGGTACTGCAGCTAAACCACCCAGAAATCCTCTCCAAAACCGTTTGGGGAGCAGAAACAAGTGCTCGCCAGAGATGCAGGACATCCGGACTCGCGAACTTGAGCCCATCTAAAGCAGCACGGGATTGCCCAGCCAGCCCCCAGAGGAGCCCCTGGCCATGGCTCTGTCCCTGGCCATGACTCTGTCTCTCCCCTGGCTCTGTCCCCTGTCCCCTGGCTCTGTCCCCCGGCTCCGCTCCCCCGAAACTTTCCGCGGGCAGCGGCTCCTCCTCCCGGGGACCCGAGTGCGGGATCCTGCCTGGCCCCGGGGCACGGAGAAGGGTCCGGAGCGGCTCCCCGGGACCCCCCGAGCTGTCCCCGGGCTGGGCTGAGCCCGGCTCCGCTTCCCCATCGCTCGGCGCCGCCGCTGCGGGACCAGGTGCGGTGCCGGCAGCAGCCAAACCGGTTTTCACATCAGAGCGATAATAATTAATTAAAGAGCGCTTTGGGAGCCAGGCAGTGAGAGCCGGGGCACCCCCGGACCCCCTTCCCGGTGCCTCCCCCGTACCTTGAGCCCGGGCGAGCGGAGGGGTCCCGGTGGCGGCCACAGCTCCGCAGCCCCGTCCCGGCGCTCCGAATTAATCGCTCCACCCCGAAAAAAAAAAAAAAAAAAAAAAAAAAAAAAAAAAAAAAAAAAAAAAAGGAGGGGGTTAGGAAGGGAGGGAAGGAGGGGGAGCGGAAAAACCCAACGCATCCACCCCAAAGCCAGCCCCGCTCCACACCCACGAGGAGGGAGAGGGTCCCTCCGTGACTGGCATCGCTATCTCCTCCGGCGGAGCTTGCAGGGAGCCATGGCAACGAGCCCCGCGCTCCCCACAGCCTCCCCCGGGGCACGGCCACCCCCAGCCCGGTCCCGGCCCCGGCCCCGCTCCGGGTCCCACCTGCCCGAGCCGAATCCCCTCGGCCCGAGGCGCTGCCAGCGGCACCTCCGCCCCCTCTTCACCTGGGGATGCGCCGGGAGCCCGAGGGATGCGGGAAGCGAGGAGAGGAGGGAGCGAGGGCAGCCCCTGCCCGCCCCCAGCCCCGGCAGGTGCCGGAGAGGGACCCCCAGTGCCCGCCAGCCCAGAACCGGGCCGGGAGGAGGAGAAAGGGGTGGCCGGAGGGATGGCCGGGATGCTCTGGCTTCGGCGGGCAGGGGCTCCGCCAAAATCCGGGCGAGGAGGAGGGAGGCGCTGCCGGGGAAGGGACGGTCCCCGCCGGGTCTCACCCCTCTCTCGGGTGTAGAATTGTCGCTGCTTTACAGGGGAAAGGATGAAGATTAAAAAAACCCGCAACTGGGTTTAGCCCTTCCACTTCACCCATACTAAACCCCCATGTACCAAATCATCCCAACACCAAACCTCAGCAAACCCTCTTTTCCTCGTTTTTTGTTTTCGTTTTTATTTGTGTTGTTTGTTTAGGCTACTATTATTATTATTATTATTATTATTATTATTATTATTATTATTATTATTATTATTATGTTGGCTGAGTGGGGTTTTTTTTGTTTGTTTTGTTGTTTTGGGGTTGTTTTTTTTTGGCAAATGCCTCCCTGTGTGATTTTTGCTGCTTTGTACATGCCCACAAAACCAGCTCAGGTTCACGTGTGCGTTTGAGCGCCCGGACTCTGCCTGGGTGCTTCATTCTCTGAGCCCTGCTTGGAATGGGCTGAATTTTTAAGTGATTGGTAAAGACAGTCGTCACAAATCTGCCAGTCATTGTCTTAAGCACCCCATCCCGAGAGGTGGGGAAGGTCACACATAATCATTTTCATGAGAGCTTGGGCTCCTCCAACGTTTCTGTCTCGCTGCTGACCTTTGGGTGCTTTGCTTTTCTCTGAGCTTTGCCAAATGCAGTGAACAATAATCATAAAGTAACATTCACGGACATTAACCCATAAACCCACCCTACCGAATCACAGTGCACTCCCGGGGATTATTAGCATTTGGGTTAAAGATTTTTTGGGACAGTGGCAATTGGAATTTGTGGATGTGCTGGCCAACTGGTGTTGTATATCTCCAGCAGATTTAAGTAGGTGAGCTTGCCTTTTGGATGGGAAGTAAATAATTAAATTTAAGGAAAGGCGTTATAAAGATGGCAGTAAAAGAAAAAAAAATATCTGAAAACTGGAAGGGAAAAGGGTGGAATAGTTTAATATATTTGTTAAGTAAATGCAAAACAGTCAAAACAATGTAAGTTTGCAGTTATGCAAAGTCAGACAGGAATATCTATCTATTAATAGATAGAATTTTTATACTAAACTAGGCATAAGTGAACTGGCACCAATATAAATGCATGGAGCAAAGCATGGAAAGCTGCTGAGGAAGCTCTGAAATTGGGCAGATTTCTGCGTGGCAAACACCCAGCCCAGAGCACACACAGAGAACTGGGAATCCTCCCTTTGGATCCTGAATTGAGTCACTGTTCCATGCAAAGACAGTAAAATGTTATATTTACAGCACATTGCTTTCCAAAGCAACCAACAGCTAAGCAACAGACCTGTGCCCTGGGAGCGGAAACTCGGGGAATAAATGGACCAGGAGGCAGCTCCAGAGGAATGTCTGAGGGCTGCCCACGGACTGAAAAGCCATTTGAGCCAGCACCAACGAGCCATGGGAGAGTCACTCCAATCCAGAGGTTTGGAGATTCACTGGAGCCTTGGCAATGAGTGGAAATGAGGGTGGGAGGCTGCTTGTCTGGGAGCAGAGATAAGAGAGCTGGGAAAGCCAGGGAGAGCCAAGGAGAGCTGGCATTGCCCTCCTGGCAAGGAAAAACGGGGCCAGTGGCTCTCACCCTGCCCAGCCAACCCTGAGCTCCACCCGGGATGCCTCAGCAGCTCCAGGAGTTTCCAGGTTGATTTTTGCAGGGCTCTGGCAGAAAGAAGAGAGACACCAATTTAATGATCTCCAGAGACTGCCTGAGGCAGGGCTGCTGCCAAATCCTCCTCCCAGGCTGCCCATCCCTACATCCCTGTGCCACAGAGGGAAGCTGCCCTTGCAAAATGCAGCAGCCACCCCTTAGACCTTCATTTCCCTGGCCCAGCTTTTAAATCCTCTCTGCCAATCTGATTTTTCCCAAAGTCTTCTCCCATGTTGGGGTTTGAGGCCATAATATGGAAAGCATTAAATGGTTTTAATTTTTCACACAGAATCGTGCACAAAGTTTTTCTGCTGCTAGGAAGGCAGCTGATGGCACAGCCCAAGTACAGTACACACTTGAAAAATAAATTGTGTTCCTGTTAATAATAATAACATGGCACCAGCTAAGTCTATGTGAGAATAGGGTTTACTTAAGGTTTGCCTTAAGTAAAGTGTAAATAGACACAATCAATCATGCTTCACATTTCACTGGGCAACGAAATGGGGCAAATGTCATCACACTTAAGTCTGCACCAAACAAAAATAAAGACAGAGAAGCTCAGTGTGGTCCTCTCTGTGTCTCACAAAACTGCTCTTTATTTTGGGATTTCCTGCTGAAAATCAAGGGGCCTTTTCATCAGACCCTCTGCTTGATGTGAGAATGAGAGAACAACACTGCTGGAAACACTGGAAACAATTCTCTCTAGGCTGGTACTGATCACATATTTAAAATACGCGTTAAATGCAGAATATTGACTGAAATCAAGTGTGGAAAAAACCCTCAATATTTATCTCAGGCATTGTCTGAAGGAGTGAGAATGAACAGCAGGTGTGGTTTGCCAATCCCAACTGTGACTTGTTACCTGATTCCCTGAATGTTCTCCCTCAAAACACACCCACCATTCTAAACCCACCTCCAGAGTCTGGTGGCAGGCCCAGAAGATTCCCAATCCTACTCTAAATGCCATTTAAGACACATGAAATACTCAGGACAAAAGAACAGATTGGCCAGATTTTCTGTGGAGGAAATTAATTTGCTTGTAATTGCCAGCACATATCCCATCAGCAGAGCTTGGTAATAAAGATGCTGTAATTTTCTGAATAGGTAGATATTAAAAAATTGGAATGTATTTCAATATCAGGAACCACAATTTTATATGGACTAAAAGAAAAAAAAAATAGGATAGGCTTCTGGGAATCTGTTTTGGTTCTGGGCAAATTAAGTGGCTAAAATAATTGACATGATGCCATCTAAATTTTGAAATTAGGCATTGCTGTAACATTTTGCAGTATTATCCTTAACTTTTGAATTTTTAGAGTATTTAAGTTATACCAGCTGAGATGCAGCTTGAGAAGCACTGAGCTTCTTTAGGAGCTTGGAGTTCATAGGAAAAGATTTGAATAATAAAAGGAAAAACACAGATGACAAGAAAAACACAGATGCTAATGGTTTATTAAGCACAGATCTGAGTGATCTGATTATAAACACACCTCATCAACACTTTGCTTTGAAATGCTGAAAGTTGGATGGGTCTTGACCAGAGAGAAACTCCAGACATGCCAGAAAATGTTCATCTATTCTTTCCTAATGAGAGTCCAGGAGAAATCCACGTGATCAAAGGACAGCAAAATTAAAGTGAATTAAAGGATCTACCACTTTTTGCAGTTTGAAGCAATCCCAGGAATTCAGGCTTTGAAGAACTTGGAGTGAAATGTTGGGATTTTTTCTTTCCTAATCTGATTTTTTTTTTTAAGGCTGGATAATTTTATGACTGCTAATAACATTTGTAACTATGCAAGCTAAGATAATAACAATGGTAATCAAATCTCATGCTTCAGGGCATAAATTGATTGCTTAGAGGGGTTATGGAGAATTTTCTGGTTTTCCCACCACTGAGTCCATGATTTCACAACTGACTAAGTGCATTACAAGGGGGGGTTTACTACTGCAGCCAGACAATTGATCTAATCTGTAATAACAAATCTGACACCAAAGTACAGTGAGCTGCCTGTCTGCTGTGCAAACACGAAGAAATTTAGGCTCAAATTCAGGGAAATATTTGGTTCTTATTGTCCAGTTAGTTTCCTACAGTCTTTTTGAAAGAAAGCAGCAAGATCTAGGTTGAAAAGAAAAAAAAATCCTAAAAAACCAAACAACCCCACAGCACTTAAGAGCACGAACGTAGCAGTGCATCTGAAAGATCATTTAGGCAAGGGGGTTCATCCTCAGGTTCAGGTCCAAAGATCAGCATGAAAAACAATTCACAGAGTGGGCTGACTGGTGTATCCTATGGCCAACCAATATTTCCATATGTTTCCATCAAAAAAAAAAAGAGGTCGTGGTCTCTTTTCCTTGAAAAACAGGCACAGCAGGAGATGAGAGAGCTCAGCCTGGAGATGGGGATTTAGGTTTAATTCCCAGCTGGACCAGAAAGCTCCACACAAGTTTGTACTCTGCTTCAGGACAGAGACTGAGCTCTGGAGAACATTTCATCCAGCAGAAAATAACTGAAGATTCCCTGGACACAAGGCGGAGCAAAATTTGGCCTCAATTTTGTTACAGAATTTGTGGAAAGATGGTTTGAGCTCCAGTGATGCCACAACAGAGGATTCTTGATTTTCCATAGAATCCCAGAATGGTTTGGGTTGGAAGGCACTTAGAGCTCATCCAGTCCATGGGCAGGGACATCTCTCACTATCCCA